AGATAAATAAATGGGGCTTTCCTCATTTGCATAGCAGATTAGCAAGCAAGTATTTGCATATTGGTTACATTGTACAATCAGCTCCTGAAGAGTTTAATAGGCATGGCCCAGGTTAAGGTCAAGGTCAAGGTAGGAAAAGAAGATTTATCATCCCCTGAATTTGTAGAAAAATGGACAGCAGCTCCAGAAAAGCTTCTTCAGACAACAGCAAAATATCCACCTTTGCTACAGAATCCTAACTTAAAGCAATTCTTGGAAAGTTCAGAGCTGTAGAGAATAGCGAACACCAGGCTTTCAGCGGAACGGGAGCACTGAGGGTGTCAACAAGGCTGCCAGTGTGGTCAACAAAATGACAGACCAGAGGAGTGGAGCAGACACACGGTCTGAGACAAACAGTAGCACTTGGAGAATCTCGACCAGAAACTTCATGCCAGTATCGAAGGTTTGGCCTGTCATAGAAAAGAACTTCAAACTACCAAGAGAATGGAGGCTGGGTGAGGATGCATTTCTACTGGAGTGACTCATCTGTGACTGTCCTTGGATGCCTGGCAACTGGGAGCAAGACTCAAGCTAACATGACTCCCTAAGATCAATGAGGAAATAAAATGTAAGGAATAAAAAGGCATAGCAAGAAAAATATAACTAGAAAAAAACTAACTGTATTACAAGAAACTGAATTTTAGCAAATATAACTGTTCTTTAAGCAAACTTATTCCCTCTTTATCCTCTACATTATAAAAAAAAAAATTCTTTGATGCCACATAACCTGATATCAAAACCATATTTTTTTATTTTTATTTTATGTAGTTATGCCTGCATGTATGTAAGTGCACTTGTATCTTGCAGTACCCATACAGGACAGAGAGGGCATCTGATCCCCTGGAACTGGAGTTACAGGGGTTAGCTGCCATGTGGGTGTTGAGATTCGAACCCTGGTCTTCTGCAAGAACAGCCAGTGCTCTTAAACACTGAGCCATCTCTCCAGCTCCATAAACCATATTTACATTTATAGAAATAAAAACATTTTCATTTCATTCAGGAATAGAGGAATTTATTTTAATTTTGTTGTTGTTGTTGTTTGTTTTTGAGCTAGGGATTCCCTGTAATGCCAGCTAGCCTGGAACTCACTATGTAGACCAGGCTAGCCTTGGTCTCATAGAGAGTAGCCTGCCTCTGCCTCATGTGTGCTGGGATGAAAGGTGTGCACCACCATGTCCAGCTGATTTATTTTTTTTAATTAATTAATTTATTTGTTATTTATTTATTTATTTATTTTTGGTCATTTTTGAGACAGGGTTTTCCTGTAGTGGGGCTGGCCTGCAACTCACTATGTAGACCAGGCTGGCCTTGAACTCACAGAGATCCACCTGCCTCTGCCCCCCAAATGCTGAGATTAAAAGTGTGCACCACCATGCCTGGCTATTTATTTTTATTTTATGTGTATAAGTGTTTTGCCTGCATATATGTAAGTGTACCACATGCATGCAATGCCCACAAGGCCAGAAGAAGGCATTGGACCCACTGGAACTGGAGTAATGGGTGGTTGTTAGCAGCCATTTGGGTGCTGAGAACTGATCCAAGTCCTCTGGAGGAGCAATCTGTGCCCTTAACTGCTGAGTCATCTCTAGTTCCATTTATTTTAAATTTCATTAGCACACACAGTATTAGGTTTCATTATGGCATTTCCAAACAGTATTTGTTTTTGTAGCTTCTCCCTGCCCTTTTCCACCACCACCCTGACTCTCCTTGCACTCCCAGCCCCACCAGGGCCTCCTTTCCAGTTTCACGTCATGTGTGTCCTGTTGCCTCCCAGCCCCCTTCCTTCCTCAGTACCTCTGCTTCCCTCTTGTGGTCTCCTTTTTAGTTTCATAGCCTATATCCACAATCATCCTCACTTACAAACATTATAACATAGGATCTGTAGATGAGAAAGAATATGCAATTTTTGTCTTTCTGAGAGTGTTACATTGCTTAATACAATACTTTCCAAATCCATCCATTTTTCTTTAGCGCTGAATAAAATTCAATTGTAAATATTAATGCCACATGTTTATTACTCAGTTATCTATTGGGAACATCTCAACAGGTTCCATTTCCTCGCTATTGTGAATAGAGCAGCAGTAAACATGGATGTGCATGCCCTTTGGGTATATTCCCAGGAGTGGTATAGCTGTAGCTGGGTCATATGGAAGCTCTTTTTTTTTTGGTCTTTTTGAGCCAGGGTCTCCCTGTAGCCCCAGCTGTCCTGGAACTCACTATGTAGACCAGGCTGGCCTTGAACTCACAGAGATCCACCTGCCTCCCGAGTCCTGGTATTAAAGGCGTGCACCACCACACCAGGCTGGAAGTTCTATTTTTATATTGATTTCCATAATGGCTTTACTACTTTACACTCCCACCAACAGTAATTAAGAGTTCCTCTTTCCCCACATCATCACCAGCGTTTGTTGTCATTTGTTTTCTTAACAATAGCCAATCTGACTGAGGTGATATGGAATCTCATAATTTGCATTTCCCTAATGGTTAAATATATTGAACACTTTTTAAAATATTTAATGGTCATAAGCTTTATCTACATAGCAAATGGTAATTAAAAGTATCAGACTGGTAGAACTAACCTTCTTGGATGTTTAACAGCCATACTTTGAGACCTATACTAATTTGGTCAGAGGGACTTAAAGGACAGTTTTTGCTCTTTGCCCTCCAAGGTTGACTAAATTCCAGGGGACTCTGGAGCATCTCTCAAAATGTTCTGTAACTGTGGTAAGTCACCTGTCCTCTTGACCAAGGAGGCCATGGAGACCCCACCAGATGGACTTGAACCAGTATCCAGTCTACAAAGAGGAAGGTCAACAGGGAGGAAACATTTCCTCCATGCTTCTAAGTGAAGCCAGCCACAGTCCAGCAGGACCTTTGGCTTATCTTCACATAGATGGAACTGGTAAAAGAAAGGAGCCAGGGGCTCCTCCCAAGCCCATGTGACCCCTGAGGAACAGATCCTCAAATGACCTTAAGAATAAAAATAAATTGGTTTATCTGGGCCAACTGTAGGGTCTTAAACACCCTAAAAGAAAGTATAACCAAAGATTAAAGAGATTACCATGACTTGTTGGCCAGGGTGGCCCAAGAGACTCCCAGACAGTAACCCAGCATAGAACTGGGAAAATGAACAGCAGACCCCAATCTTATCTAAAGGAATGTTGGCAACTGATTGCTGATAGATGAGGAAGAGCTGTTCTTCCTAAAACGAGGAACTCTAGATAGGCTGACTAGACTCAGCGAATGGACAAGCACTGGGGAATGGCTGGGGGCACTGACAATACAAGGACAGTAACAGGGATGACAGAGTATATGGGCTCCAGTGGTTGGGGTCGGGGAGGCTATGGGAGGGTGCCATTTGGGATGCCAGTATATAGATGAATAAAATTGGGATGTTCTGTATGAAATACACACATAAAAAAATCAATAAATTTTAAAAAATGAGTTATATTTGAGAAAGAAGCATAAAAATCTGCTTTATGTTAATTAGTAGATGTGAAAAATATTACCATTGAAATCTACCTGATGACTTATATCCATGTTCAATATCCATACTCAGGTGCCAAGGTTCTGAGTGTAACTGACTGTGACTAGTAATAGTCAGATACATAGAGATTAGAGACACATATGCAAACATCTGTTAGTAGCATTAAAAATGAATTTTTCTGTATGAAACGGTATATTTTAAAATGAAATGGAGATCTTTTTTAAAGGCTAAAATTTCAATTTTATGTCTTATAGGGTTCGTATTGAGTACAATATTATATAACTGTTTTAATTCAACTGTGAACCTAAAAATTTACAGCCAATTTTGAAAGCGATCCATCTTTGCTCTAGAAAGTGTTATTGACTATGTCAATGCTGTTGTAATGAAATGCTTCTACTAATTATGTGGTTATTAATAATTAAAATTAAAAAATTTAATGGTTATTTGTGCTTCTTCTTTTGAGAACTGCTCATTGTATAAGCTTGTCTGTTAATTTGGGGGGTTTTTTATGTTTAATTTTTGCAGTTTTTTCAGTACATTCTAGCTATTAGTCCCCTGTCTAAAATATAGTTGGCAATGATTTTTGCCCGTTCTGTAGGCTGTCTGCTCACTCTGCTGATAATTTCCTTTGCTATGCAGCACTTTTTAATTTCATGTAATCAGGTCGGCCAATTCTTGGGGATATTTCCTGTCCTACTGGAATCCTGTTCAGAAAGTTCTTGCCTGTATCTCTATCTTACAGTGATTGCATATGTTCTCCCTAGCAGTTTCAGTATTTCAGTTTTAAATTAGGGTGTTTGTTTCTGACAGTGTCTCACTATGTAAATCTGGCTAGCCTGGAACTCACTATGTAGACCAGGTTAGTCTCAAACTCACATAGATCTACCTGCCTCCGCCTCCCAAGTACTGAAGAGTGTGCCACCATGCCTGTCCTTCAACTTAAAATCTTTGATCCACTTTGACCTGATTTTTGTACAGAGTGAGAGATATGAACCTTTTCACTCTTCTACGGGTGAGTCTCCAGTTTTGACAACACCATTTGTTGAAAAGGTTATCTTTTTTTTTCAGTGTATACTTTTGATCCTGTATTAGTCACTTTTCTGTTGCTGTGATAGAAACACTGGCCAAAGCAACTTATAGAAGGAAGAGTTTATTTGAGCTTATGGGGAAAGAGTTCATCATGGAAGGCAGCATGGTGGCAGAGGTGGCTGGAATAAGAGCAGAAGCTAAACTCTCACATCTTCAAGCAGGCACAGGAAGCAAGACAGGACTTGAGATTCAGCAAGGCTTAAGAACTCTCTAAGCCCACCCCCAATGACCTGTTTCCTCCAGCATAGCCACACCTTCTAAGACTTCCCAAAACAGTGCCACCAACTGGGGACAAAATGTCCGGATACTTGGAGCCTATGGGGGACATTCTCATTCAAACCACTAGGGATTCCTTTGTCCAAAATCAAGGGGCCATAGCTGTGTGGGTTTACCTCTGGGTTCTTTATTCTTTTCCACTGGTCTACATGTCTGCTTTTGTACCAACATCATGCTGTTTTTGTCACTATAGCTCTATAGCATAATTTGAAGACAGGTATTGTGATAACTCCAGTCATGCTATTCTGCTCAGGAATGTTTTGGCCTTTTGTGGATTTTTGTGTCTCCATATGAATTTTGGGGGTTTTGTTGTTTTTTGGTTGGTTGCTTATTTGTTTGTTGGTTTTGTTTTGATTTTTGAAACAGGGTCTCACTATCTAGCCATGGCCTGAAACTCTCTATATAGACCATGCTGGGCAAAAACTCACAGGGATCTGTCTGTCTCTGCCTTCTGAGTGCTGGAATTAAAGGCACGAGCTCTACCACAACCAGCTCCATATGAATTTTCTATTGCTTTTTGCTAGTTATATGAGAAATGTCATTGAAATTTTGATGGGGACTGCATTGACTATGTAGATTCTTTTGGAAATATAGCCAATTTCGCAGTATTAGTTCTGCCAGTCGAAGAGCATGGAAGGTCTTTCCATCACCTGTCATCTTTAACTTCCTTATTCAGTGCCTTAAAGTTTCCATCGTAGAGCTTGTTCACGTTCTTCATTAAGTTTATTGCCAGGTATGTGTAATTTGTGTTTTTTGCTTTGTTTTGGTATTTTTGTTTTGGTGGTATTTTGTTTTACGATAAGGGTAGAGAAATTTAAAAGCCAAAATTTAAGGGCTGGAATACAGCCCCATATTAGACTACGTGTCTAGCATATGTGAGACTGGTAGGTTTTATTCTCAGTGAAGAAAAAAAAAAAAGTCAGGTGTCATGGTATGCCTGTAATCCAAGCTCTCATAAACCAGAGGCAGGAGGACTGTCACAAACTCAAGACCATCCTTGTCTACCTGGTACGTTCCAGGCCAACCAGGGCTACACAGTCATATCCTGTCTTAAACCAAAACTAAAGGTTCAAGCACAATATGCTGGATGGCTTCAGCTGTCAACCTGACACACCTGTGTAAAGGGAACCTCAGTTGAGGAATTTCCTCCAATGGATTGACCTGTGGCCATATCTGTGGGGCATTTTCTTGACTGTTGAGTGATGTGGGAGGGTGGGTCTAGACTATTGAGGGCAGTGCCACCTCTAGGCAGGTGGCTCTGAGTTGTATAAGAAAGCAGGCTGAGCATGGGCCAAGAGAGCAAGCCACTAAGCAGCGTTCCTCCATGGTCTGTTCTGTTTCTGCCTCCAAGTCCCTGCCCGAGCTACTGCCCTGGCTTATCTTGATGGACTGTGATGTAAGTTGAAGGCAAAATAAATCCTTTCTTGCCCAAGTTGGTATTGGTCAGAGTGTTTTGTCACACCAATAGAGAAGCAACCTAGGACAGAAATTGGTACCAGGATCATGGGGTATTGCTGTGACAGACCCGACCATGTTGTTTTAGGGAGGATTGTGGGAGTGTTTGGAATTTTGGGCTGAAAAGTCATTGAGTGCTTAGAACTTGGTGAGCTGTTGCTGTAAGAGCTTGGAGCAGTTATGCTGAAGAGAAATATGATGGAGGTCTGGCTTGTGAAGTTTGAAGGAAAGCAAAGACTATCGGGGACATTTGTGAGATATTTTGAATTGAGGATCTGTGGTTTCTGGTTGGCTGGTGCTGAAGAATCAGCTGTGATTTATAAGAGACCAGCACCATTGAAGTATAACCTTTGCTTTACTGGGGCAATTGATGCTGGTTAGCTGGGGCTGAAAGATCAGCTGTAAGTAAGAAGAGACCAGCATCAGGAAGGTGGAATTTTCTGGGATCTATTTCCTCAGAGTCAGCCCACAGAAGCTGTGGTCCAGAGGCGGGCCTACGGCTCCATCTCAAGCTGGAAACAGGGCTTGGTAATGTGTAAGGGTCTCCTACATGGTACTGCTTTTGAAGGCATGAAGGGGTCCTGGAGAGCAGCTGAGGCTTGGCACTATGAGAGGCCAGGAAAGGCCATTGGTGAAGGTTCAGCCTCAGTTGCAGTGAAGGCTACTGGATTGAAAAGATCATGGAGAGAATCTGAGGCTTTGCACCCTGAGAGGCCAGGAAAGCCCACCGGTGAAGGTGCAGCCTCAGTTTCAATAGAGACCACAGCATACTGAAGATGCCAGGACAGTGGGACAACTACCAAGGGCAGTGGCAGGTATGGAGTCAAGCCAGCCTGAGCTTGTGCAACAAGCTGTGTATGCTGTGGACAGCAGAACCAAAGAAATAGAGATGCCCAAGCCCTTTAGAGCCCAGAAGACTGTGAATGAATCCCGATGTCCAACACTGATCTGTATTCCTGGACTTTGGTTTTACTGAAGTGTGCCCAGTTCTTCCCTTTTGTAATAAGACAATATGTAACTTATTTTGGATTTTACAGAAGCCCACAGTTGAGAGACTTTAAATTATTTTAAAGAGACATTGGGCTTTTAAAGTGTTAGAATTTTTAGCCCGGCATGGTGGCACACACATTTAATCCCAGCACTGGGGAAGCAGAGGCAGGCAGATTCCGTGAGTTCAAGGCCAGCCTGGTCTCCATGGAGAGTTCCAAACCAGCTAGGGCTACAGGGAGACCCTGTCTCAAAAAAATAAAATAATAAAATAAAATAAGGGGCTGGAGAGATGGCTCAGCAGTTAAGAGCAGTGGCTGTTCTCCCAGACGACCCAGGTTCAGTTGCCAGCACCCACATGGTGTCTAACAACTGTCTATAACTCTAGTTCCAGGGGACCTGACACCCTCTTCTGACCTCCATAGGCACTGGACACATGCAGAACACTCATGCACATAACATTTTTTAAAATTAAAAAAAAAAGAATTAAAATTAAATGACTTAAGATTTTAACTTGTAGATTGTTTTGTTCTGTTTTGTTTTTGAGTCTCAGGATACCCATACAATGAAGGATAAAGGCAAAGCCCACAATAGTGCAAAAGGAGATGGTACCTGATTGTAACTTAGCAGCCTGGAGACCTTCCTCTTGGACAGCCATGAGCTTGATCTGCAGCCTGTGAAGGACAGAGTCAGAGACCGAGTTCAAGAGAAAGGACAGCAGGCCTCTTACTGCAGGCCTTCTCTAGGGTCTCCCCCAAACAGTCATCCTCAGGAGTTCACCATTCAGTATCCCTCGTCGCTTCCGTATGCCCACAAAGCAGGAGGGCACAGAGCCAGGCTCATGCTTCCGCCCTACAAGCTGAGCAGTAGCACTGGGGATCCTAGGAAGGAGGGGAGGCATCGATTCCTTTAAGAAAGGCAGTGCCCAATTCCATAACCACAACTGCATTTAAATGAACAAACTGGTGTCTGGCATTGGCCAGACTTCAAGTGTTCCCATTGTGGTCAAGTAGCTATTGGGGTGAACATAGAAATAGGACAATTTTGTCCTTCCAGAAAGTTCTAATGAGCACTGTAGAACTCAGGAACAAGAAGGGAAAATACAAGGGGCTCCAAACCAGTGGGGGCACAATTTCAGGTGGTCTGGGACCGCTAAGAGGAGGGGATAGTAGGAAGCACCTGTCAACCCATCATGATGCCACTGCGTGTACCACAAGGGGACCAATGATCCAGTCTGTGCTGAGACCTCCACCAAGAGTAGAAAGTACACCAAAACTCAGGTGTCCTTCCTAGAGTCCCAAGTATCATGAACAAAGCAGGAGGTTGTAGCAGGGATGAGATGGGCTTTAGTGTTAGCCATGTCTTGTGGGAGCAGACTGACCCCTCCCAAAATGGTGTGTGGCAGTGCTCAGAACCTCCCCCAATCTCCCTGAGCCAGAGAGAGGCTCCCATCCTAGCTGGCATCCACAGCTGGACTTGTGTGAGTTTCATCCCACCCTAGATTCTCATTTGCCCACCCACCTCTGCCTTCCAGTGTGCAGACCGCCTCCAAGGCAGGGGGTGAGGGAACATCCTTGGTGTCTGAGGACTGGTCACTGAAGTTCCCAATGATGATGATGGAGTCCTCACACCCATTGGCACCCTCTTCCTCACTGAGGTATTTGCTGTCTCCAGTCATTGTTTCCTGTGAGTGAAGGCCAGAATGGGTAGGAAAGCAGGAGACAGGATATGAAAGAGCAGCTCACCCCAACTTCCTCACCATGGGCTCTATATTCTCGAGCCAAGAGATCTCATGATCCATATCTAACCCCTGATCTCGATCCAGGCTCCTCCCTTATCAAACTCAGGATTTAGTTCCATGTGGCCAGATAGCCTAGAAGGTTCAGATGCCAACACTCAGGAGAGGAAGAGACCAGGGTTAGGACTGAGGCTGGGGTCTGAGGCTCCAGCTGCTTGGTATAAGCCCTTTAACCAGCCTAGGTCTCCTCTGTCCCTGGTCCCTTCTCCCTGCCCAGCTTCTGCTGAGCTTCAAGAAGCCAGTACACCATTTTCCCTCCTGACCCCTTTGTTCAGTGTCCAGATCTCCTTCCCACTGCCCCTCCTCTCCCAGACAGGCTTCTCTCATCGCCAAGGCATCACAAGCCCCACCCCAGTCCATCCTCGGGAGCCTATTGGCTAACTGACTGTCATTTACTCCCTGCTCCTTCACTTGAGACTGGATAAGGAAAAAGTTATATTCTTATAACTAACTATTCTTATATAATGTCCTTGCAAGCTTAGGCCATTTGAAGTGTTCTTTGTTTTACTCACTGGGTAGGTATCTTGAAATGTAACCCTGTGGTGTTTTCACTACCCTGAGATGTTTTGTTATTCTGTAAAGACTTGAAGCTCTGTGATGCTTTCCACTTGCTGTCTGACTGTCAATAAAGATGTAAAACTAAAAGAATGGAAACCACCAAATGGTTTAATGAGGCACCTGGTACAATTAGTCCAAGAGAAGTGTAGATCAAACATGTCAGAACTCTAAACTTCTGTTGATGATATATATATGTGTGTGTGTGTCTTTGATATCCATTTTTGTAAACTGTAATGACCAGGTCCTAGCCTAATTAACCTGGACTAGCTATAGATCAAAAGGTAGTAGATGTAGGTCCAGGATCATATTTTGTACTCTAAGTAGGCCGAGAGAACTCAGGAAGGAATTTCTTGGGATAACATGGCCCATCATAGGGCTCAGGTGCTAATCATAACAGGATGACACAAAATTGACTATATAAGCCTCATCTGTACTTCAGCTCCAGGAAACCTAAAAGTCTTTGTTACTTCTGGGACCCTCACGCATGAGTAAAGAATAAAGGAGCTTTCCAACTCTGGCCTGGGTGAATGCTTGCTCTCTTTGCTGTTCGAATTTTTTTCCTGGAACACTCTGACTCCATGTCAGAACCCAGTGCCCAAGGAGTTAAGTGCATGTTGCCCTGTGTCAAGCTGTTGGAAGAATTTTCCTATAACAAGACTGAGTCCCCAGTTCTATAGACAAGGATGGAGGAAACACAGGCAAAGGGCTGGGGAAGTTACTAGTAGTAGCCCCTGACCTGCTGCAGCCTCTCCCCCACCTCCAGGACTTGGTCTCCCCACTGCTATCCCTCCTATTAAACTCACTAAGACACAGGGCTAGGTCCTCACAGATGGGTTGATAGGCTGTGTGACCTGTGCCCTGGCTCACTGCCTTCAACACTGTGGGCACCAATTAGACATGTGTGCACGTAAGAACCTGCGCCTTTCTCCCAGGGAACAGGGAACTCATTTTGGAGAAAAAGAAAACTGATACACCAGGTAAGATAGCAAGGTTTCAGCATCAAGTACAACTTGAACTCATCTGCACCAGTAGCACTCAGAGCACAGTGCAGGAGGATTGAGAGTCTGGGGGCAGCCTGTGCTAACAAGGAGAAGCTGTCTCAAAAACTCAAAAAGAAGAAAATCACATCCCACAGTTGGGGATGGAGCTTGATCTGAAGCCCAGAACATCTGCATAGAAAGGTGCTAGGTTTAATTCTCAGCACTTTAATAAAAACAAAGAAAATATCAGAGTAAACCACCGCAGCAAAAATAAAACACATGGGGCTGAAGTCTTAACTGGCTCAGCAGTTAAGAGCATTAGCTGCTTTCTTACTGTGGGTTCAGTTCCCAACACCCACATGGTGGGCCAATACCAGTTCTTAACTCCAGTTCCAGGGAGCTAAGAACTCACGCCCTCTTCTGGCCTTTATGGGCATTGCACTTATGAGTGTACTCATCCACACTTAATTTTTTTTTAATTAAAATAGATTTTAAAGATCAGCTGGGCGCATGCCTTTAATCCCAGCATTTGGAAGGCAGAAGCAGGTGGATCTCTGTGAGTTCAAGGCCAGCCTGGTCTACATAGTAAGTTCCAGGACAGCTGGGGCTACAGGGAGACCCTGTCTCAAAAAAGACTCCCCCCCCAAAAAAATATCAGCTGGGTGTGATGGCCCATTCAGTTAAGTCCATTCAGTTAAGTCAGTGCTGAGGAGGAATGTGCAGGTGGATCTCTGTAAGTCGAAAAACAGCCTAGTCCACAGGGTTAAGTTCTAGGCCAGCCAGTGCTATCTAGTGAGACCCTGTCTTGAAATAAAGTCAGGCATGGTGGTGCACAATTTTAATCCCAGCACTTGGGAAGCAAAGGTAGGTGGATTTCTGTGAGATCCAGGCCAGCCTGGTAGACACAGCAAGTTCCAGGCCAGCTGGAGCTACAGGGAGACCCTGCGTCAAAAACAAAATAAATAATCTAAATAAATAAACAAATAAATAATCTAAGAAGTGGATCCAGGGTCAGATATGGACGAGGCTGTATATTGAGGAAAAAAAAGCCAGAAGTCTCTGCTTTTTGTTGTTGTTGTTATTGTTGAAAACAAGGCCTAACTCTGTAGCCCGAACTATCCTGGAACTCACTTCAGAAACACTGCACTCCTGACCTGCCTGAGCCCCACAAAATGCTGAAGTTATGGGCATGAGCCACCATTGTTGCCTGTTTTTTCAATCCATTTGAAGTTTGCTAAAAATTAAGCGGAGGTAAAGCAAGTAATGATCTACAAAGTTCACACCCAAAAAGTGCTGAATCAAGTTACATACACACATTTTTTAAAAATCATCCCGGGGCTGGAGAGATGGCTCAGCAGTTAAGAATGCTGATTGTTCTTGTAGAAGACTGGGGTTCGAATCCCACACCCACATGGCAGCTAACAACTGTCCATAACTCCAGTCCCAGGGGATCTGACAGCCTCTTCTGACCTCCTTGGGCATTGCCGACACGGGTGTACTCACATGCAGGCAATACACACATACACATAAAATAAAAATAATAAATAAAAAATCAAAAAATTAAATAAAAATAATAAATAAAAAATCAAAAAATTAAATAAAAATAATAAATAAAAAATCAAAAAATTAAATAAAAATAATAAATAAAAAATCAAAAAATTAAATAAAAATAATAAATAAAAAATCAAAAAATTAAATAAAAATAATAAATAAAAAATATATATTTTTTAAATCATCCCAATGTTTTAAGTAAGTTTACAGCTTTGTTCGGTCACATTCACTAGTGGGTAACAAATTGCACAGGCCAACTAGGATGAGGCTTTCAGAATCCCATCCCTTCAAGTCTCTCCACAGCCAAAGTAGACACTCACCACATACATTCCTGTTCTGGAACTGTCTAGGGCCGCCTTGCTTCTATCCCATCCAGACACCAGAAAAGGCTGCCCTCCCAGCGAACTTTCTAGAAGCAGCACCTGGGCTTCCAAGCCGAGGAAGCTTTCAGGTCCACCAGGGGGCGCAATGTATCATCATATGAACAGGCAGTTGAGAGCCCTAATTCCAGCCTTAATGTTTGCCCAAGCATGGAGACTGAGCAAGCCAAGCAGGCAGACCTCTCCCCTGTGACCTCTTCCAGGGACCCCAGAGCCAGTACAGGCATTATCTTAGAACTACAGAGTCTGGGGCAAGTTAGATGCCTCAGAGAGTAAAAGTGTTTGCCACCAAGCCAGTAAATCTAAGTTTGATCACCAAAACCCATATGGTGGAAAAAGAGGACTCCCTCAAGTTGTCCTCTAGCCTCCATGTGCACACACATACATGTGAGCATACACACACAAATAAATAATGAAGTGTAAAAATTTAAATTAAGGAGCCAGGCATGGTGGCACAAGACTTTAACCCCAGCACTCGGGAGGCAGAGACAGGTGGATCTCTGAGTTCAAGGCCAGCCTGGTCTACATAGTGAGTTACAGGACAGCTGGGGCTACAGGGAGACCCTGTCTCAAAAAGACAAAAAAAAAAAAAAAAATTTAAATCAAAAGATGAGGCTGGAGGGGTTGCTCAGCAGTTAAGAGCATTGGCTGCTCTTACAGAGGACCTGGGTTCAGATCCTAGCACCCTCATGGTGGTTAACAGCCATCCACAACTCCAGTTCCAAGAGATCCAACACCCTCTTCTGACCTCTACAGGCACTGCATGACACCGGTGCTCTTACATACATGGAGGCAATACACTCATACACATAAAATAAAAATAAAAAAAGAACTGCAGAATCTCAGGCACAATCCTAACCCTAACCTGCTCCAGCAGGATTTTAACTAAACTTTACCCAGGTTCCTGGGTGATTCATTTGCGTGTTACAAGCATCACTGCGTTTAAGGACAAAGCACAAATGGGACTCTCCTCAGCCCCACACAGGCCACAGCTCTTGGGCTTTTTTCCTCAGCACAAGGACTCCCTTCTGCTCCCCACAGGACCTGAGAAGGGTCTGATCCAGTCCATCAGCTAGGTACCAGGACCAGTCAAGCTAGCTGACCCTTGGCAGTTCCTGAGGCCAAGCAGGCTGAATCCCAGGAGAGCTGCTGGAACTGGACCGGGCTTCCAAATAATAAGCATTTCTCCTCAGGCTGATCAGTGTACCAAGTAGCCCTGAGTGACCTGGCTTGGGTGGAATGATGAATTCTGGTGGGACACTCGAGGACCTCAAGGAGCTCTGGAGCAGAGGAGGAGGTGATAAGGAGTCAGGCCTAAAGGAAGGCCACGACCTCTCATCCAGGGGCGGTGGTGGTTTCCTCAGACAGCCTTGTGGACTTCAGCCCCTCAGACAGTCCCTGACTGGGTCAACTGGAA